AGTGGCTGCATATACATACTCACATTTTATGCAACAGGACTTCTATTCAGACCCAATAGCTTTTGGGCAGAGAGGGCCGACTACCCCAACTTGTTGCTGCTGTGATTGTCTGTTACACTGAAGTGGCAAAAGGCACTTTATCACATAATTTCCTTTGGTTAACTCACCACAGCATACCACAGTAGCATTCTATTGAAATGTGAAATTAAAGTGATGCCTCAGGTGACACAGGCAAAAGGCACACACATGTGCCCTGACTCACACTGCCAGCACACCCAAATGACACTTGCACTTATCCCTTGTCTAAGTGAGACACTTTATCTGCTCAGAAAAGATTTTTCAAGGAAAAGGAAAATCTGAATTCAAGTGGCAGTTCTACCATGATACCCATGTAAACAAGACGTCTCCTCTGCTACTGAAGGGGGTATGGAAAAGGCTTTATCAGTCCTGCTTTCAGTACCTCCCTCCCTTTCTTCACAGTGGTACAACTTAGTCCAGAGGAAGAAAGAAAAAGCATTTGTTTGAGGCAAGTAAGTTCTGTCACGTTAGCTTAAAAATTCATGCTCTCTCTTTTACAGAGTTCCTACAGAAGCACAGCCTAACACACAAAAGCTTTCCCATAGAAACAAGGTCAGAGACAGACAGTGCAAGGATCAGAACACACTCGACCTGTAATAGCTCTGGCATCCCTGACACACTCCTGTCATCAAAAATTATGGAGGGATTGCGTGAACTGAAGCCAACAGCCCAGAGACAATCTTCCTCTACCACACTAGATTACACCTTGAAGCAAAATGTGTCTCTTCTGTGTGGCACTGAACTAGTCTCACTCTAAGAGATGTCACAGTCAAACATGAGGTACATCATAGCGCAAGTTTTCAATCAGCTTTTTAGGGCAATACAATCACATGTCTTAAAGGCTGGATGGCTCAATGTAAGCAATTGTTTTCAAAGCACAGAAATCCAGTCTTCACAATGGACTGGCAAGCAAGTTTAAAAAAAAAATAAGAAAAAGAAAAACTTTATATTTCCATTGTTTAGTTTTAATCTTTACCCAAAAAAATTACATTGACAGTATTCACAGAAGCATAAACCCAAAATGCTAGAAGACCAGAAGCATGCTTACCTCATGAAATAGCAGATTTTTAATCTTAATTCATTGCAGTTCTCCCCATTGGCATCTCTATATGTAGGCTAGTTAAAGAAAGCTTTGTGTGCCTTGATTCAGTAACGCTGTTTTTATCCACAGAAGACTCTGATGCTAGACCAGCCGAATAAAAAACAGTATAAAACTTCTCTTCTAGAGACAACCACAGTATGCTCTGATATTTCATTCACTTTCACAGCATTTTAGAGGGCCCAGACCAGTTCCTGGCTGCCACTTTGTTTTCTACCCTAGCAAAAATGCCTCTATTAGACTATTCTGAATATTCTGCCGAACAGTTTCTTGTCAGCTCTGGCTAACCAGATACAATGATATTTCTGATTATTGATGCCTTTAAGAGGTACAAATGACATGTAGGTGATTAGGTACCACTGAAAGTTCATGCTAGTCCAAGGCTAGCTGGCCATTACATGTTTGAAAAGTTATCTTGGCCATGTATTTCCACTTATTCAAAGTTAATTCAAAGTATGCCTCAGCAAACTTGTACATATAGAAAAAGTCCACAACCAATAGCATAGACTTCCACCCTTTAGGCTGAAAAAAATCTCACCCCTAAACCTTGTTTGTCACTAACTGATTGACACATTTTTTCACGCAGTCACAGAAACAATCTGCTTTGGACGTTGTCATGTCAATTTGCAAGTCTTCCTGAAAGGATATGTGGACAGAAGTTTGCCAGCCAGCTCTGTGGAAGGCAGATACCACTGGTGCATTAAAAGAAAGGTTCTTGGCAAATGGCTGGAGCACCGATTTCCTTTGTCATCTGCAAAAGGGAAACAAGTGAGTTAAACCACATTATATATAAGCATATATATAACACATATATAAACAGAGAGGAACTTTTATTCTTCAAGTGGAGTCAGGGAGAAAGGATCAAAAGTGGAAATGTTGGGTCATTATCTACCAAACAGGTAGGAAAGAAAACCAAAGAACACAAATGCTCCTTTAGTGATAACTACTGCTAGATTGTAGTGGTAGGTAAAAAAAAAAAAAAAAATCAGTGTAGATAACAGGCCATAGCTAGAAAAATGGGGTATGGCCAGCACTATGCTAAACATTATACAAAGAGACTGCCAGTAATCCAAAGAATAAATCCAAAATTAGTCCACCAAAAGGGTGGGGAGATGATTGATGTACAACTACTTCCAATGTTAGTTTCATTGCAGCTTTCTAGCTTTATGTTAACAACTAGATGGTTAAAAAAGGGATCTGCCTCAAGGAACTCCATCTCAAAGCAGCACCTCACGTCTGTGCCCAGGGTCCTGTCTCCAAGTGCTGTACAGACCCTTGCGCCTTTGCAGCGTGGCCACTGAAACTACAGAAAGAGTCACTCCCTGGCAGGCTGGCCGGCCACCAGTGTTCCTCAGCATCTGCAGTTTTCGGTTATTCTCTCTCTGTCACTCTTTTAAAAGACAGTAGATGACATGCATGCACGAAATGGGAACCACATGTGGATGACAGCTGTCCCGAGTGTGTACACAAGGAAGAGAGGCATGATTTCCAACAGACAAGTATATCAGCTCTGCTACCTCTCATTAGTATTTAGAACAACAGGTTTGATAGCGGTCTAGAAACATGGATATATGGGGATGCACTACACTCAGTAGCAAGATCTGCCCCTTAATTATTTAATCTCTCTCACCTTTAGACACTTGTTTCTCTCCATAAGGGAAAAAAAATTAATACCTCATTCCAGTCAAAGACTGTCCTGCATTTCCAGAGAATCTAAATGTAGCTTTGTGAGTTAAAGCCCTGTTTCAAAGCATTTAAACCCATCCATGAACTCATCTGACTGCAATGTGACATATATCATGATTAATGGTGTTAGGGATCAGGGTCTATTTCATCACTTCTTTCCCTCAGACCTGGTACATCACATTTTAATAAGAGTAAAAAGATTACATGAGCCTTAAGTCATATTATTGCCAAGTATTCCATGATGATTTGGAAAACCTTTCAAAAAAATGACTGGTCAGAAAGGCAGCTGTGTAACCACTCAAGACAAAGATCAACGCCAGAAATAACTCCTGGAATGACTGAACTGAACACTTCTCTTGGTGAAGGCCAGCATTTCAAAAGCCACTATACCCACCATTGTGCATTATCTGTATTAAGAAAATTTAATACAGTGTGCATATGATTAAACTGCTGGCCTGTGTGACTCTGGGCCAAAATGAAACACGGAAAATTTTACAGAACAGAAATGTTGTTTGCCAAGGGAAAGACTGGCTAAACCCGAGAACAGCAGGGGTTATATTATAAGATTAATTTCAAGAACAGCAAAGTAAAATATTGAAAAAGCGTACCAAACATTTCAATACAAGCATTCAAAAGCTCATCTAACGTTGCAGCCTTCCCAAGTGTGTTTGACCCCATTGTCCTTTAATCGTTGTCAAAAAATAAGAGACATTTTCACCAAGCAGAAGGATGCTTCTTCAGCTGCACAGCTTTTTCACTTTATTGTTGGTTGCATTCTTAGCTGGACTTCAAGGAAAATCTGAAGAAAGTAAAAGAAATCATAATTATATGACTATATGGAAGACTTATCAGGATGCAAGGTTTACAGTTCAACTCTTCTATAAACTGTTTTTTCCCCAACACGACACCGAGCATGTGAAAGACTGCTGTAAGCCCTCTCTACATTCTAGCTTGTGGTTTTAAGTGTTGTCCAATTGTTTGTCCACTAGCACAAAAAAAATCCATAGCTAGGGTCATAAAAAAGAAACCAGATGGTAAATGAGGGCATGCATGTACAATGACGCACATTTTGTTCAGCTCGTTTTATTTACACTTGATAAGTCACTTTTTGTTAATAACCCCGCTTTTATGTTTTTAAGCATAACCATTTTTTTCCCTAAGGTTACCAGCTCATGGCAATGCTAATGGTCTTAATTGGCACAGACCACATACAATGTTTAATGAGGTTCATAGCAAACATTAAACTAGGAGGCAATTTTTCAAAGAATCTTAAGATTAGTCCCCACAGCTTTTTAAAATAAATCTTCCCACAGTAGCTGAACACTCCCAGAAAGCTGAACACACAGAGAGAAACTTCTAAATTGTACCATATATCTACTATGCATTTAACATCAAATACCCATTTACCTGAAAGATGCACAAAATACTGTTATAAGTTTTCAGAAATAATTATTCAGATTATATTTAAAGAAGAAAGCAGTATTTTATTGTCTATCTGTGCCTAAGCCCCACTACTGCCTCACCCCTAGCAAGTGTTTGAAATGTGACAAAAAATAACAAAGTACATCCAGCAACTTTTCTAGAAGAAAAAGCCAAGAGCAGAGTTAAAACCATCCCTGAAGCAAAACGATGAAGAATTTGGGAAGCTGCTTTTTAGAAGTTGTTGAATGTACACCACTTTCAATGCTGGCCACGCGAAGCACTAAGGAACCATGTCCCTGCCTTAATTCACCCCCAAATACAAAGTTTTTCAAACCTGCCATATCACAGACCACATACTGCAAACCCAGCCTTGATCGGACTGGCACCCTTCGTGCCTTTTACCAGCCCATGCTGACCTCTCCCAAACGCCACTGTTCCCATCGGCACAAAGTGCTCTGAGCTAGATCCCTGTGAGCTTCCACCCCTGCGGACGCCACTGCGGGGCAGCCACCCAAGGGACACCAGGCAGCGGCAGCTTTGCCAGCCTGCTGGGGCCACCTCAGTCAGCCAGCTCGCCCCTGTGGCATGGGCAGGGCCAATGTATCCTGACACAGCTCCCGCTTCCCAGCGAAAGGAGGGAACGCTGCTCATTCAGACTGGGTCCACATCACTGAACCGACCGTGCCCAGAGCAGCTCCCAGGTGCAGAGGCCAACCAGCAGAGCTTGGCCTGTATCTACACCAGCGAAGCCTCTCGACCTCCCAGAGCTGGCACGTGCTAACTCCCACCTGCACCTGAGATCCACCTAGGGCCCTCCAGCAGCACAAGGTACCCCAGCACGTGCACAAGCGTCCCACACTGGACAATCCTCTAGAGACCCAACTTCAGAGTCCTGCAGGGCCCAGGCTGCTTTACACGTGCAGCAGTGTTTTGCCTGGAAGACCTTCAAAACATACTGTTCAGCCAAAGATACTATTATTTTTAGATGGGTGCCTACAGCCAGGTTCTTCCTGGTCCCATTCAAAAAAGCATTTAGACATGACACATTTTTCCCTGAAGCCCAGAGAAGGAGCCTGCAGGAAATAAGCACAGGGCACCAAGCTGTGACTTTCTACGAGTCCGTGCGCACACGATGCTGCAGCAGCCCAGCTCAGCCAAAACGTGAGCAGAGAGTTGCAAGCATCAGCCCTGCCCCGCCAGCGCCTTCCTCCCAGCTGGAAGAAAGCACTTTCCTCTGAGTTTGCTGGTGCAGAACCCCCTCTTGAAGGAACACACATCTGGTTTTCCAAGAATTGAGCAGAGCTCCTATTTGCAATGGATTGGGGCAGGGGGGGGGGAACTACTCCTCTCACACCAAAGCAAGCAGCCAGAACACTCACCTAAGAAAAAGGGGAAGGTGGGCACACAGTGGACTTTGGCTTTGAACCCACACTTGGCACTGTAACAGAAAGTATGCTAACAGTTAGGTCTGGGGCGAGGCTGGGCAGCCTCAACCCTTCCTGCTCAAGCTGTGCCACTGCACAAACCCCGAAGCTGTCTGAAGAGGACCAGAGAGAGACTACAGGGAGAGACGTGGCTCTCCACCCTGCTGGTCAGGCCACACATGAGCCAGGGTCACCCTGGGTTCAGCGTTTCTTCCCAAGACCGTGTATGTATTTAAAGGGAAAAAACCCAAAGTAGAGCATTTGCTTGGTCTGCTTACTTTAAGAGTTAGCCAGCAGCTGAGCAGTGTTTCTCAAGATCACAGCTTTGTACTTTGGCACCTAACTTTTGCTAGAAACCCACTTTGGGCACGTTTGTCCATTTTGACTATCCCCAAATCCTCCTCTAAGTGCTTATATTACTGGCTTGATTTTTCACAGAGTCAGTTATCTAGCTCTTCCAACTTCATCTGACCTAGCTGGTGTTTTCAGGAGGAGAAAAATAAAATAAATTTTACATTGTCTATTTCAAAATATTTTTTAGTCAGCTCTTTAAAAAATAGAATTGAGAAAAGCTATTGCATTTTCTGCCTACTCCTTGAAAACTGCTGAGCATGAAATGTAGGAGGTGCAGAGATTTCATCTGTCTTTTCAGGTCTTTTAGTACTACCACCCTCTGTAATATCTAGCATAGGAGAGTATCATTCCTATCTTCTTTTGGCAACAGTGTTAAAGCAGCCATACAATAATCAACAATAATGCTCCATGTAAAGTCGCAGGATTTTTTTAAATTACACGACAACTACTTAACCAGTAGATATCCAGATCGTGATGGCACAGTACCATCCCCGTGAACAGCCCATCTGACCACTAAATGGTTTTATTCTCATAACGCTTCCAAAAGAAGAATAAAACACTTCCACTGGTGGAAGAACTGGCTGACAGGGGCTAAGCCACATATCCACAGCCGAGCCAAACCTGATATCACATCTCGTGACCGCAGACTCCAACAACCACAACCATTACATCATTATTTCTGTGATTAAGCACTGCTGTTCTACTAAAACAACAAACGTCTTATCTATACCATGCTGCGATGGTATCCAACCACACCAACACGGCTAGAGATGGATGAGTAAAATACAACTATAAATTTCATTTACATAAATTAAATAAATTATATTTTGATAGTCAATGGCTCGACGTGAGAAGCACAAAAAAATCATACATGTATAATACATGTATATAATTATATATACATGTATAATATATGTGTATATATATAAACACGTATAATATATGTATATAATACATATATATAATACATGTGAAGAATTAAAACCTTTGAAATAAGTGGTCACTATTAAAAAATTGCTTGCCAAAGGTGCAGTTGGACTTCCAAATAAAGATAACCTGGAGAATCTCTGCCCCCAGGTACTTCCTAAGGTAACTCTGAGACATCTCATTGCCATCTAGCTGTTCCAGAAGAATTCAGGAAAGCTGGATGAGAAAAAGGAGCCATTCTCCTTTCTTACTCAGGTCTCTTGAAGTGACAGACTCCACTACAAGTCTTGCTGGGAACCTGCCATATACTGGGAAGGGACTTCAGGACAATAGTCAGGACTGTGTGAAGGACGCTGGGAACATGATCAATACAAGCCTTGGTGTTCCCTCACATCCAACAGCTTTGTCTAAAGCACTCCATTTAGGTAACATACAACCACAATATTCCTACGAACCAAGTCATAGTATGAGGCTTGCCATGCTTTATTTCATGAAATATTACCATTATGGGCACTTCCTACCTAGATGGAAAGCAGAAACCTCTGCAGTGATGGGCCCAGAAGTTAGAAGTCCCTGATGGACTGAACTACAACAGTCCCTTCCATGTCTTGCTGTCACCCTGACCACCACATGCACACAGACAGTTACTTTGAGTAGATGGCTTTCCTTAACACTCTTCAGGCAGTGTAACTGCATTTTGTGTTCAATATTTTCCAAGTCTTGAGATGGTGCTATTGTGGATTGTCTTGATAGATGTGTTTAAAACCAGTGTGTAGGCTGTGAGCTCCTGAGACAGATGTGATCAGATGCAATACATTAGTTTATAAAAGAAACAGGATACTCTGCCAGTAAACTTATGGTCTTATGCAAAAGCACCAAACAGTGTGAACAGAGTGGGCAGCACGCAGTCAAGCTTTAACTGTTGGCTACTGTCATTAGTAAACCCAGAAGATATCACTTTTACTGCTGGAGGCTACTAAGGGGAGGTCCACACCTACAAGTTACGGCAGTTTAACTAATATTAAAATGTCAGGCCCTGTGTGGGTGCTTCCACATGGATTTCTAGCAAGTTATATTGGTTACAGGTGCAAGCTAAACCAATAAGTCGAGTTTAAATAAGCTTAAATTTGACACACAGAGTAATATTTATTTAGCTAAATGAAATTTAAACAGCTTTTCAGCCAAGTCAAAGTAAATGTACATATAGCATTTTCCCCATTAATTAAAAGTGGGCTATTTTCCTTCTACTTAGGGACAACAAATAGAGCCACACGCAAACAGTTCAACTTTGACACCCCTATGGGTCTCAGTTTGTCCATAAACTTTCCAGAGGCCTGCACACAGGAGACTCATATTCTTTACAAGATTAGGACATTCTTGAGCATTTAAGTAAGCCAGACCTCCCCTCCTCACCCCCTCCTCCAAGCCTACACAATACAACACTGAACTTGCATTAAACGGCTTTCACCTGGCTGCTGGAGAGAGTGCTAAACGCAAGCAGCTGAACAGGGAAATAGGAGCAGCAGCAGCATGCAGAGAAAGAAGTGGAGA